GACATGAACAACAGTCATGCTGTCACAAGTACCGTATGCACCGGACTATAAGCCGCATGGTTCAAAGTTCAGGAAAAAAGTCACGGCTTATAGTCCGAAAAATACGGTACTTGTGACAGCATGACTGTTGTTCATGTCCATACGGACAGCAAATATTCTTAGTGAACAATATTCATGTTCTGCTAATGTTTTCTCTGTGATGTTGTGTTTTCAGGTAGACAACCAGTTACTGGGCACCACCCAGCCTGTGATGCTCTATGTGACTCCCAGTTCAGGGGAGAGCGGTGGAAATGACAGCGGCCCTGCTCTGCAGGTGAACTCAGTCAAGGTTCCCAGCAGGCTGAGTCTTACAGAGCTCTTCAAGGTGAGTGTCACATGCTGAACCACAACACTGAGAGGAACAGGAAATGAGAGCAGGCTCCTGCTCATCAGAGTGGGAAGGGTGGAGGGTTGGGCAATATTGGCTAAAAAAATTAATCATGATTAYTTGTGGTATTTAGTCAATAACTATTATTTTGATGATTAATCCCCTGGAGTTCCCTGGACACCCTTATGTCCCAGTCACATGACCAATTTAGTGGGTTAGATTTGCTCTTCATAAAAATCTGTTCCAAACTGTGTCAAAATCACAGACTTCAAGCTATACATCAATTTTTTAATTGTGTTGATAGATAAATAAATTACAGAACTTTTTTTTAATGTTTGTCATATTTGAAGTGGAATGGAGCTTGGTGGCATTAATCGTATTAATTGTCAAGTGCCAAAAAATTATCAGTTAATGTTTTTCTGACGATTGATTGCACACGGTACGATTATGCCCGACCCTAGTGGAATGTTGCCCCTATGTGCCACTACGGGTGGAAATCTTTAGGCACCTCAAGATTCAACTCAATTGTGACTCAGAGGACTCAGTATAAGGATGAAACAATTATTGATGCATCAGTTCAGAGCATAGAATGTGTCAGACCTAAAATAAACTGCTGTAAATAATAGGGGCGTAAGAAAATATCGATACACTGAAATATCGTGATATTTCATTTCCCGATACTGTATCGATATTCTAAAGCCCTGTATAGATTTTTTTATTAAGGTTTAAAACGTCAACTTTCCTGCCAGCCATTCATTTTTATGTTGTAGTTCAGCCTCTGACCACTAGTTGGCAGC